CGTCCCTCTTGTCCTAAGGCAGGCCTTCTTGCAACAGATCCTGTGAGGCAAGTCTGCTCCCCAAGGACAAAAAAAAAAGAGAAAATTTTGTTTCGTCCTCAGCCTGTACTTCCATTTATCATCTTTTTTATTTCCTTCATTTAGACTTAATCACTGTTTTTAGGTAGGACTTCTTACTTTTAATAGCTTCCTTATCCTGATGTGAACCATAATGAGAATGTTTTGTTATTGTTGTTGCTGTTTTGTTTCCAAGTTTCCTCAAACCTTTTTTTCAAAGTTAAGAGGCAGCACTTGCTTCGACCATCTAGTAAGGAAACTTTAAAACAATCTCTTTGAAAGTTGTTTTTTTTTTTTTTTAAACAACCTTCTTAATTCTTTTTGTTGCTCTCTTTTTTAAATATTGGCATATTATGGCCACTTCATACACAGCAGCTCTCAGAACACAATTCAGTCCTGAGAGCGTACAGGACCTGGTTCGAAGAGCTGCTTCTCTTGGGTTGCACACTGGTTACTCTCTAAAGCACTCCTACCTGTGTAACTACTCCCATCTCACTCAGCACATCGCTGAGAGTCGCCAAACTGACTGAGCAATTCCACACTGTAGTACCAAACACAACGCTTTTCCAGGTCTGGCCTGGAATTACAAGGTGCAGGGATTCTGTGTTACCTCACTCATCTGATCTGGCTCTAGGCTGTCTCCAGTTCATAGCGATACGCAGTATTAACTGAAGCTACTGTTTTCCTTTTAGAATTTGTCCTTCTACTGAAACACATCTTGCACTCTCTGATAAATGAAGATCAGGTATCAGCAGAGGCAGTTTGGACAAGCAGAGAGGACTTTCCTGTGGGTCGTACTGTCCTCTACGACCTCCTGTTCAGCACCCGTTCCCTAGGAAGGCCCAGCTGCCTGAGTCCTGGCCATGTGACACCATGTGCAAAGGACTAATCTGCACAGGGGTGGAGATTCGCCACGGCAATACCGGAGAGAGTGAAGGCACGCAGAGCAAACTGCCATCTCCTCTGACCTGCCAGCAGCGAAAGAGCAGGGGGACAGCAATACGAAGAGTCAGCACTTGGTGCTGATGGTTTAGGTGAATCAAGACATCCACAAATTTCAGTCTCCGACAGTTCCTGGTGGGGGAGCAGGAGTATCTTTAGTAAAGTAGTTCCAGCTTGCAGCAGTGGAACTATGCTTTGGAGCTAAGCTCGCAACTGGTGGTATTTATCAAGGACCAGGTAACCCTTCTTTGTGTATCAGCAGGGGAAAACTCTGAGGAAAAGCCACTGCTGACAGGGGAGCTGCAGGAGCAAGTCCTTTGTGACAGGTACTTCTCAGGGTTATCTAAAAAAAAAAAACCCAATAAAAAACCACAGAGTCCTTCACAGGCAGTTTAGCAGGTATGGCTGTGGCAAGTATTTTCTGGCACTACTGATCACTCCTTATCACACAGGACAACAGTACACAAAGGAGATTTCCTTTACAGATAAAAGACCCTGGTAGGGCCAGTTACTGGAGCAAGTCACAATCCAGCTTGCTCAAAGGCAGCGTGTTTAGATTTGATGCACTCTGAAGACACGTTGGAGGCTACTGCTTGGCACTGGGAAGCATTAAAGGATAACAGGCTGTCACGTGAAAGAGTAATTTTGCTAAGCTATTAATTACTGGTAGCAACAAAAATCTATTCCATGATATGGTGCTACAGGAGAACAAATGGATGCAACCACAGTCTGCTGTGAAGCCTCGGAGAAGGCACGGACAAGGAGCTGGGGGATGGCTCTGCATGTCTCACACAGTACAAGAACACGCAGGGTACAGGCCTGTCTCCAAAGATCTCAACGAAGACTTTGATTTCTTGCGCCCAAGGACCCAATGTGCCACAACGCAGGTTTGTCGAGATGAACCAAGAAAGAAAACCAGGGCACACTCAGCGAGGTCACTGCTCCCCTCTCTTTTTTCATTTTTAAAGTAACATTTTCCAATACTGAAAAAAATTGCACAGCAATTCTTTTAAATATTTTATATTCAGAAGAATTGTTAATTTAAAAAGCAATACATCACAGTAGTATTTTACCAGCTTAATTTATACTGGCTTTAAGTCCGGCTGATTAGGTTGATTATAATGGTTCCACTGGCTCTTGGACTGGCTTCCCCTGCCAGCCACTCCCTACTAGTAGTAGTGTCAGTAGGAAGCCTGGAGAGCTGCTAAGCTAACCCAGCTGTGAAGTACTGAAAGAGTAACAGGTATCTAGAAGGGCCTATTCCAAGCAGTCTGCCCAGTTCCCTTGCCCTCTCCGCTCGGAGCCCCCCGCAGCTATCAAAGCGCGTGTTACCACAAGTTCTGTCCCTGCTTGGGCGCAGTGGTCTCTGCAGGCAGGTCCGCAGCGTGCACAGACCGGTGGAGCTTGCTCGCTCTGCCCTCGGTGGCTGTGCTCCTCCGCTTGTCTGTAAGAGAAAAGCACAAGCTCAAGTGTATTCTCATTCATCCTCCTCCTCAGTGAGCATTTTTATCATCAAAACCCAACCTATCTCGTCAGGTGTTTATATTCAGCATCTAGGCCAGCAATACATTTGTCAGGGAAAACCAATCCAACATTAGTTTGGTGAAGATCACCCTATGTGCATTTACAGAAATACGAAAAAAGATAACAGAACTTTAAAGAAATCACTGCATCATAAAGCACATACATGACATTAAGAAAGGCATTCCTACCACTTCAAACACATACAACTGGCTTCACCTTTTAGCTATATACTGCCCAAGTACTTTTAGAACTGAACAAATTATAAATAGGACGTATTTGTATTTCTGATCGTCTTAGACAACAGGCTGACATGAATTCAAACCTCTGCTTATTTAAGCTTTGCTTGTTAAGTTTCAAGAGGAATGTGCTGAAATCTCGCCCGCTAGCTGGGTAAATACACAGGCAGCAGTTGAGAAATTCACACAGCTGGAAGCAAGCTGGTGTACAGACACATGGCCAGCCAATATTTGACAAAGTTCCCATAAGGAAATACCCCACCGAGGGCCACTGACTCCAGCTCAGCCAGCCACCAAACAGCTGGAACGTTACACGCTGGATGAAGTATCTCGCTGCAGGTTTGCCCTGCTCCAGCCTTCTACAGATGTCTACCCTGCCCACTGCCCAGGAGAAAGCACCACCAGGCGAGGGCTCGCTGCTGGAACTCAGTACAGCCTCTCGCACGCAGGCCTGCTGTAGGTGGCATCAATGTCAGCCTACGACACTCCAAAAGCAAGAAATGATCAGGACTGAAACCGCAACACAAGTCAGACTCTAGCATGCTCTCCTGTACCAAGAACAATTTCCACATGAAGTGTTAAGTTTCCCTTCCCACAGACTGATTTCTGTGCATGTCCAAGTTCTGCCTGCAAGGCTCCAGGGCAGAGGAAGCACTAGAACTTCAGCTAGTCATCACACCTCACCTGCACGTTCAGGACAAGCTGAACAGCAGGCTGAGAGGACTTGGGCAAAAGAGCTGTTTGCCAGAACGGCCTCAGTCAGCAGAGCTGCAGGGATCCAGAAGGCTGTCCTGCTTGGTACTATTCACAGAATAGTAGGGGTTGGAAGGGACCTCTGTGGGTCATCTAGTCCAACCCTCCTGCCGAAGCAGGGTCACCTACAGCAAGCTGTGCAGGACCTTGTCCAGGCGGGTCTTGAATATCTCCAGAGAAGGAGACTCCACAACCTCCCTGGGCAGCCTGTTCCAGGGCTCC